ACCTGGTGGGGTGGCGTTGGCAAGTCCCGCTGCGGAGACAATGTGGTGGATGTAAGCAGCGAGCGCGTCTCACTATCCTCACTGCCATCGCTGCCATCGCTTTCCTCAGAGCCAGCCCTGCCCATGACTTGATCCCATTCGGGGTCGTCAGCGGAAAAGTAAAAGGCTGTGTTGACATCCCGAGGAGGACCAAAGCCACCGGCTTCATCGGGTTCTTGGTCATCCATACCGATGGTTTCTTCCCATAGTCGATCTTCTGTTGAAAAGTTAAACGCCTGGTCAATACCTTCAGGTGGCATGAACCCACCTTGTTCGGTCATTTCGCGGATAAGGTCATCAGGAATGAGCCGGTACTGCTCGAGGAGACCCAGGACCGTGTGGACGAACCGGTTTGGGTTGCGGACTCCATGTGCTCGTGATTCGTTTACCAGACGGTCAATCAAACTGCCCATGTTGCGGACATCACCAAGGCCTGTGGCAATGTTAGTAGGATCACACTCATGGAGGGGAAAGGACTTGCCAATAGATGCAGTGTTGGCAGCAGGGTCATGGTCCTGTGCCGATGTGTTGTGGCGAGCGTTGCCGCTTGGAGCCGTATTGTCGTTGACCGCGGGTGTTGCAGCAGCCGGGCCATATCCGCCGTTTGTTCGAGGTGCTCCAGGGTGGTCGAGAGCTAAGTGGCGTGAGTAGACTTCTGGGACATTAGCAGCATACTTACACGGCGGCGAGTGAGGTGTGCCGTCACCAGCATCAACCTCGCGGAAGACGCGTTGACCTGTAGTAGATGACATCGCTTGCGCGCGACCTCGGGGAATGCCTTGCTGGCAGCCTGTCCGGGTGTTCCTAGAAGAATGATGCCCGTAACCTGGATGCAGGCTGCGGGAGTTAGAAAGAAGAGAGTTGCCGTGCACGGGGCTATCGTGGAGCCCTGTGGAGAGACTGACTATACGCGGATGAGTAGGCGAGGAGGTGAAGGAGGAGTACTGAGGAAGCACACCCACCGCTGAAGTGACGATGATGGTAAGTGGCGGAGCTGACCCTCGGCGTTGCTATGTGAACATCGCTGGTAGCGGGAATGGTTGCACTGTTGTAACCGACCGCTACATCCCGGTAATGAGGCGCCGCAATCGTGGCGGGGACGCCAACGGAAGAGAAATGTGGCATGGTGGCGCTGATAGGGTTATGGTTGAAGGGAAGTGGGAGGTTGTGAAGGAGCGAGCTTCAGACTGCGAACAACGGCTATATACCCGCGGGGCACAATAGAAAATGGACTGATCTCACGAAGTAATGAAGGTGTGGCTATGTGGCTTCCTATCTGGGAGGTAGTGAAAGATGTGGAGCGCCAGCATACTGTCTGACGTATTGCAGTCCTAAACGCGAGTGATACCTCGGTAGGTACATTGGATATCATAAACAAACCACCCGATGCACTTCTCAGAAACGTTTCTTGACGGACAAGAAGAAAGTTGCAACCAAAATATCGGCGGTGCGGCCGATCAACCCCACAACCCCTTCACTGCCGCCTAGCATCAGGAGGGACCCAGTGCGTGAAAGAGCGGACCCTTGAACGAGCAGTACTTCTACATCAGTACCATAACTTTCTTTCCCACACTCCAACCGCACAATCATCTGCCCGCCCACCCCGACACCATCCTAGCTATTCCACAAACATGTCCCTCCCAGACCACCATGACCCACAACACGCCGGACCCTCGACCCCAGCCCGACGGTCCAGCACGTCCAGCATCTCCAGCACAGCCAGCTCCGACTTCATCTTCATCCACAACCAAGATCAGGCAAGCGCCCCGTCTGAACCACAGCTAGGTACACTGACGGCCCGCCAGTCACCAAATGGCCGCATCGGAACACTCCCATCCGAAGAGTTCAAGGGAACGTGGGAAGCCGCTTACCAGGAAACGGCAAAGACCGCGAAGGAGATTTCGAAAGCCTCGACGACGTTCGCAGCGGCCGTATGCGATAGCGGGATTGGTCGGGCAGGAGCCTATCTTGGAGCAGCGTTGTCCAGGACTGCGAATCGCGGGGCGCTTACCGCTGCCAAATACGCAGTTGACAAGGCCGGGACGGACGAGAGTAAGCTGCCTCCGCGCTTGAGGTCGTGGTTGAAGCGGGGAGACCGGAAGGAGGGTACTGCAAGGAACGACGTTGAATCTTCGGAACGTCGTCAGGAGACGGAAGTTGTCTTGATTGCCTCACGTCCAGCGGAGAGCAAGAATGATGCTCGCACTTACTCTATGGAAAGCCCGCAGCAGGTAAACCATACCGATACTCAGATACTCCGCGCTTGCACTGACGTCTAGAACTAGGCCAAGTCTCTCAACACACCCCAAAAGAACGCACAAGTGTTCGAAACCCTCGATACTCCCACTCCGGTGCGCCGCCAACTCAGCAAGCCGCTCGACATAAGCACACAAGGTCACCGGCCTGCCCTGACGTGGAAGTCGCGCCTATCCCAACAAGCCGAACACAGCCCTACGGAAGAGTCGTTTGAGCTCACGCCCATGTACAGCCCCGATGACAAGCAGCTGTATCTGCAAGCTGCCAGTGGACGCCAGGTTAATGCTAGCCCCGAGACGACTGCACCTGCGGGGACGAGGACCGAGGCGTTCAATCCGTGGGACGCGCCTTTCTCCCCCTATGACATGGCGGCTGCCGTCGACGAGCAAGATGATGATCTCGAGACACCGGAGGGGTCTCCACCCGGAGAAGAGCCCTTGCCGTTCCGCAGTGATGCATAGAGGGGTTATCTTGGCTGTCGACTGATGGGCATGACAAACAGAGCGTGTCTATGGGGGTTGATATTAGAAGATTCTGGATAAACGTGTTCGGTGGATTTGGGAAGCTCTGTTAGATATCGGGAAGAGTATAGCGTGGAGGGGGTTTGCAAGAAGAGATGACTATGCATGGGAACCATGTCTGATTCCAATCTGATTTGCTTACTGGATCTGAAATTGGCAAAACGGTGTCCGATAACACTCCCATGTGTCATGCATAGGTTATGACCTGTATCTGACCTCCATTCCGGTGCCTTATCCATCTGTATGCTGTACTTGAATTTGGTTGTCCACTGCTTTACCCGCACCACCGTCCGGCACCCAGATCCTTCCGCCCACTGCGTACACTCTCTTCCCCGTTCCTCTCCCCCTGTTACACGTCCCTCCTCTTCTCTAGTTCGATCCCAAACCTCCCTGACCATCCCTCCTCGTACCGGGGCAGCACACTTGGCCAGCCTATCGCGGCACAGTAAGCATGGAGTCTCAAACAGCCCGGGTGTTAGAAGGCCAGTAGTACTACTCCTCCACAGTTGTCTCGAGATATTCAGAAACATATGTGCGTGCCAGAAGTATGGGATAGACATGGCATATGGCTTCCGTAATCGCCTCACTGCTTTAATCTCGTACCTGCAATATCCTCCCTCGCATCTCGGATCAGGAAACTGTCCACATTGTCAGCATGGTCATCCAGCCATAATCCTGCCTTCAATCACAGGGAGCAAGACTCACTTATACCACCAAACCGTTGGCACCACAGTCCCCGCATGCCAAAGCGAATGCGCATCCAGCATCCCTCCAAGTGGCGGAAAGTCGAGTAGCTCGAAGCTCATAACAACGACCACCCATGTGACGATGAGACCCGGCCACATTGCCCACTTCCTCCCAACATTCTTGTAGTGATTGTAGCTGAAGACGCTCCAGAGAACATTCTGCACGATGCCAACGGCCACGTTCGCTGCCATGTTGTACGTGTAGTCCCAACGCACCAGCGTCAAGTATGCGACATGCATGATGTACAAGGAAGCGCACAAGACTGTCCAGATCCTTAACATCGAAGGTTTTATCGCCGGGGTCGACTTGTCGAGTCGGAAAACCCGTATGGGCGCAAAGTACAACCCATACAAGACGTTTGCGCCTGCAGCGAAATAATCCAATTTCTCCGTAACATCGAAATCCCGCGTATGGAAGATCATACTGAAGGTCCAGCTCGCGAGGCCAACATATCCAAACATCAAGTAGTACTTCCGCAATGCGTATGCAGCGGGCAGTTTCTCACGAAGCTGCGATATACCCCACAAATGGGCCAGATAGTTTGCGAGCGAGAAGAGCACGCTGAAGGGCTCTTGCATGCCCAGGAATCGGTAGAAGGGCCATTTGCCGTGGAATTGGACGACAGGTTCGAGGTATGGTGGGTCTCGTGCCAGGCGCTTTTGTGTGACGACGTGCTGGCAGGTGTAGTCGCATTCGGCGGGGCAATCCCAGAAGAGGAGACGGTGGTGGACGGCTGGTGCTGTGAGATCCAGATCGGGGTAATTAGGGATTGGATTTGTACGTACGAATCGGGGTACCGTCTTCGACGCAGTTCGCTTCTTGACAGACCTGCGGCAGTTGTGAGCACTTGTGTTGCACTGTGGACCGAATGCCCTACCTGTACACACTCTTTAAACTCAGGAAGTCTGTCGCCCAATGACGCCTGCACCACGCTAACGAGCAGCAGAGCAACGGCTGCGATCTGCCATGCCGGCAGGTAGCCTATCCTCATCTTAGGCATCGAAGGAGGAGAAGTATGTCCATAGGAGCGTGTAGAGGTGCTGCGGCATGTTCCAAGCTTGAGAGAGCTCCGCAGCACTTACTGTTACAATCAAAACAGGCTTGGCGTCCTGAAATTCCCCGGCGACGCGTCACACACGCCGCCCCGCAAGACGCTAAAACAATAGCAGACTTACAACAGACCGCTCAGGTTTGCGAAAATGTTGGATATAAGCAGAGTTCTCTATAATTACGAGCTGCGTAACCTATATTCAATAAACCTTCTTCTCCCTCTATTATTCTACTCCTCCCTCTTCTGACGTAACTACTAAGAGTATAAAAGATTTATTCATAGTAAAAAGAGCATTCTCAAGTCCGGGTCTTTTCCTTAGCACTAGAGCACGGGTCCGGTCGGCTTTAACGAGGGACAGGCGAGGGCAGTTAAAAAGCAAAAAAAAATGGACAAGTAGGGGATCGAACCCTAGACCTTCCGCATACAACTGCTACGCAATGCAAAGCGGACGCGCTACCACTGCGCTACATGCCCGTTTTACTGATGTAAGAAAAAAGACCAAGTAAAATCTATGTTCTAGGAAACGGCAAGAGCAACAGCGCCCTATAACTGTTCGTACCTAACAGCACTAGATAGCAGATGTAGACTGCCCTAACATTAGATTAGCTGACAGTTACTGTTCATGTTATATTTCCCTATGCGCTTCTATGCACTAGGAGTGCTTTTAGAAATAGCTTCTCTAGATAATATGAAAGAAAGGACAGCGATTTCGGGTAGAGGGTATAAAGAACTTTGAGTAAGCGATACGGTGCCTAAGAAACGCCGATTCGTAGGGTGCTCCAGATTAGTTCGTTTCTAGACGACTCCCTGCGGGATACGCAGGTACGCAGGTACCGAACCCAAAAGATGGCGGGTACAACACAACTGATCGCAATCTCACTCAGAACACCCTACCTACTAGTATACCACAAGTCCGCGCAAGGGCAAGACAAGAGCAAGGCTACTGCTTCGACATATATTCCTATATAAATAAAATCACATTGACTGGATCTCTAACTCCAAAGCGCCATCGAACAAAATCCAAACTAAGAAATACATAACGAGAACCTCCAGGTCACTCGCAACCACCAATCTCTACCGCTCTCTCAATCTCCCGTAGTACCTTCTCGACTATCTCCTTTGCTTCCTGTAACCCCAACATCTCGGTAGGCCCGAAGACGCCCATATCCAACGCCCCATTGCAAATTGTAGCCTCGATATCGATGGCATGCTGCGATAGTATTAGCAGGTTGCGATTTCCAGATACAAATAGAAAGCTACGTACCAAATACGCTTCGGCGACTCTGTCCGCATTTTCGTCTATTCCAGGTAGCAGTTTTCCAAATGCTACATCCGTGACTCTGGCAATGCGCTCATCCCACTTGCCAACCTGCGATACTTTGATTGCGTCTTCCTCCTCACCCACTCGTGCTCCAGCTTCCTTGGGCTCAGCATCGGGAAGTCTCAGGAAATTGACAAATGTATCGATTCTGACGCCAGTCCACTCGGAGACCTCGAATAGACTGACGGTCGAGTTGACCGGGTTGCTGATCTCTTGCATATCTTGATGTACCTGATCCACAACAGCCCAGATATCGTCAGCTTGAGGTCTCTTGACTCGCAGCGGTACAAGGTTGACTGTAGGAAAGGTGGCAGTCGGAAGGTCAGGAATGGGGTGAGAGCGGTTGGCTAGGTACAGTCCGATGACGATATCGTGATTCGGGGAGATATTGGCCAAGGACGCGTAAACTCTCGCGTATGTTGCAATGAAGAGGGACTGCGTAGAGACGCCTCGTTTCCGTAACAGAGAGTCCATGGGCTCCAGATCCCCTATGAGCGCAGGCTGAAACACTTCTGTGCGTGACTGGATAGGTGAGGTTGGTTGTCGAATTGCGCTTTCCATGGTGTCGTCCAGGTGCTTCTTCCAGAATGCTGTCCGCTCATTGACGGTAGCAGCATTCGACTGGCTTGCCAGAAAGCTTTCGTATGTTGAAAGCGAAGACATGCGTGGCTCACGGCCGCTGCAACAATGTTTGAACTGCTCCATAAGCAGTGGCAGACTGACGCCATCATACAAGGCGTGGTGGATCTTCAGGCGCAGATGCCACCCTTTGCGGGTCTTGGTTACGATTAGGTGCGCATACGGCTGCCTGAGCACAGCGTCGTTCATTGTGCCTGGCGCTGCATCTTCAGACTTCCCAGTCAAGTCCGTGATCGAAGCCACAGCATCACGACGAACCACTTGTATCCATGGATTTCGCGCATCTCCTATAGGAACCACGTGCGTCCTCAGAATGTAGTTCGCAGAGACTACCGAGCCCCAGCTTCTGCAAAGATCGTCGAAAGACATGTCTTCCTCAATGAGATACACGAACTCAGAATAGAACATCGTGTCCCCAGAGTTGTGCCACATTGTAAGCATGTACATCTGGCCGGGTGTGACTGGCAACACCGCTTCGACATCGTCTTGATCAATACCCGCTTCTTGGAGGATTTGTGTCAGGTCAATGGGCTGGAGTGCGTCCCTGAGCACAGCTCCCGCATCTTGCATGATATCTTCTGCTTCCGTCATGCGTTGGTCTGCTAGACGCGCGAGATCGCTTATCTTGCCAACTTTGAGCAAGTCGCTTACCGCCAGTTTGATTGACCTCTTGCGGAGAAGTGATGAAACCTTCATTGCGCTGATGGAGTCGAGACCGATGTGAAATATCGTCATGTCGTCGTTGATTTCTCCCTCAGAAATACGTGACGCCTGAGCAAGAACCTCCCGAATCACCCGGAGTGAGACAGAGTCGCTTGTATGATGGCTTTCCATCTGGCTTGTGGTCGTGCCGTGTGATTCTTCCGGCTTGGGTGCAATGCTGAAAGGAGGGAGGTCGCATATCAAAACCCCGGTCGACGTGTACTCTATAGTCGGCGCGTTTCGCTCTTCGATCAATGCCTTCAAGACAGCATCCAATCGATCAATGAAATCGTCCACTCCATCCCTATTGAATACCTCGTCCTTGATGGCGCAGCGCCACACCAACTGGTCATCCACAACTTCCATCTCGACACAGACTGGATAGTCCACGTTGCTGTGGCCACCAACACTCTCGTACAAAGGCATCTCTTGCGCTTTTCGTTCTGCTTGCGACTTCTGGTAGATGAAGAGACTATCGAATAGTCGTCCATGCACTCCGGCGAGAGCTTGTGCTTTCCGCAAAGGGAAATGCTGCCATTTCCTCATCTTGAGAAGGTTGTCTTGAACGTATTGCAGCATCTCTGCACGGGACCCGTGAAGGACAGCACGGATTGCGACGGTATTCATCGTCGGGAAGAGGACCTCAGACATCTGTTCGTTGTCACGGCCAGAGACTACGCATCCGAACGTGACATCAAGTGTACGGACGTACGACGCAAGGACAAGGATGTAAACAGTCTGACCGAGTGCCTGCAATGAGATATTCTGCTTCTTGACGAAAGTAACCAGATGCGCAAGCTTCGCTTTGCTGCGGCGCTCAACCCGGTGCACACACTGTAGATCTTCGCCATTGATCGCTTTCCTGCGTTCGAAGGAAGTGACAGTTGCGCCAGATAGAAATTCTTGCCAGAATGAAGCAGCATCTGCGCCAGATGCAGTCATGATCTCACGCAGAGCAGGCTCATATTTGGGCCGAGGCTTGTATTGATCGCTGTAAGCCTTGTATAGGTCCGAATGAAGTAGGCTCAAGGACCACCCATCATAAAGAGCATGGGCGATTGAGATGATGAGATACTTATGCGAGGGTGTCTCAATGGCGTTCACGTGAAATAGCGGGCCTCTTGATTTCTGGTTGACCACATCCTTGCGAATGGTATCAATCACCTCGGAGAAGTCGGGTTCCCGGTTTACATTCTGGGCTTTCCAAAAGTGATGTGGCGTCCGATACACCACCTGAGCGAATGTAGACTCGACATTGGGGTCATCCACTTCCACAAGTGCAGTCCGCAGTATGGGAGATCCTTGCACTACAGTACTCAGAGAAGCCCGTAGTCTGTGCAAGTCCGCATTCGGAGCTAACTCCAAGACATCGTGGTTGTAGTATTCCGTGTACTCGGATGCAAGCATCTCAACCATCATTGCTTCTTGTAAGGGTGTGGCCGGTAGTATCGTTTCCACATCATTCGTAACCGTGTCGCTCTTGCGCAAAGCTGCTTCCAGTTGAGCTTTCAGGTCCTCAAATCGCGTGTCTGTAGTTTGGCCATTCAGTTCCATACTACTTTCGGACACTTTCGTTGCCATTGAAGCAATTGTCAAATTGCGCATGATTTCGCTGACGGGTAAGTGTATGTCCCGCTTCTTGAGGGCCGAAGACAGTCTGATAGCATCGATGCTGTCCAATCCGAGTTCGAAGATTGATGTGGTCTCTTGTATATCCTCCACTTCCACGCCAGCAAGACGAGCGAGCTCTTCTCTCACCGCTTGAGCAACAGAGGACCATTCGAAGTCGCTGGCGCCGTCCATACAGCTGGTAGAATTGTTCTCAGTGGGCGTAACACCGTTTTCGGATACTTCGTTTGTACTCGCAGAATCTAATTCAACAATACCTCGTGGGTTATCAACCGCAGCTCTTAGCGACCATTCGAACTCATCCAGTAGAAGGTCTGTTGTTTCGTGGTCCAAAACAGCCTGCTGGGCCACCAACTGAACCTTCAAAGTTCCGTCCGGATGCTGCTCAACCTCAAGCGCCAACGAATAATCAGCATCCGGTTCATCGTCTTCTAACTGCCAGACGTCATTCTTGGCCCACTCTTGATCCTCGTCAGCTATTTGATAAACAAAAAGGTTATCAAACAGCGGCTCGCCAGGGCTGCGCCCGACCCATTTCATAATGTCTCTCAGCGGAGTATGTTGAAAAGTTTGAGCTGCGACGTTGAAATCGTGCACTTTCTCGATGATACTGGCCCATGACTCTCGCCTTCGTAGGGTATGCTGGTAGGGTAGGGTATTGAAAAGTGGTCCTATGACCCGTTCAGCACCTTCAAAGTCGATACTACGACCGGACGCCACAACGCCCAGGATGACGCTTCCCCCAAGGTAGCTATGCAGAACAGTTGCCCAACATGCCTGGACAACAGCTTGGTGAGTGACATGGAGCTTTCTTCGAACAGTCTCGAAACCCTCAATTTTTTCCAGTGTCCGTGACACTGAGATGGTGCCGTTGCCCATTGTTTTGATTGAAGGGTGGAGCAGGCGAGTCGATGCGTGCACAAGATGAAGTTTCCAGAAGTCTTGCGCTCCCAACTGTGTGCGCAAAGGGCCATGCGCGAGGCTGTCTTGGAAAGGCGGTCCCATGTCCTGACCCAGGTCATGTTCCCGATTATAGAGCCTCCACACAGCTTGAAAGAGCATATTCACCCCGATCCCGTCGTAGAGACCGTGAAATAGATGGACAGCCAGTACCTTGGATTCCAGAGTCTTGACAAAGTGTAGTTCAAAAGGCCTTCGCAATTCCGAGCGATTTGAGAGCCAC